TGATGACCCTAGACGCCACAAGTTGCAAGCGCATGTCTCCCACCTTAATCGCACGCCAGCTTTTGAGCGCACGTGCCAGGTGACGAAGCTTGAGGTCCAGTGCATGACATGGGTCGATGTTCGGGTTCCAGGGTCCCCAAGATGCGCGGACCACATCAATTAAGCCATGTAATTTCGTCCAGAACTGCTCAAACCTGAATCTGGGCACCGCCCAAGGCTCAGAGGAGAGCACGAGGAGTAGCGGCGCATTGTCCGAAGCATCAGAAGAAAGGCACCGTAATTGATGGTTGTGGTATTGCTCGGTCCATTGAACGGATGCAAATGCCCGGTCTAGGCGTTCCAGAGTTGGTCGTTCCTGACCGCTAGACCAGGTGTAGAGGCGGCCATTTAGATGTAGCTCGTCGAGGTGTAGGTCGTCAATCACAGTTCGGAAACGGCGCATGAGGCCGTGATGCAGCCTGCCGTTGTTCTTGTCACTGGCCTTGTATATGAGGTCGAAGTCGCCGACAACGAGCCACGGCCCCTAACACACGCTCGCCACGACCCGCAGCTCCATCAGGAATTCTGACTTGTCCTCCATGTTCGCCGGCCCATTGACAGTGGTGAGCCACCACGGTTCACCCATACTGTGCAACGGCTTGAGACGGAACATGACCGAGAATCGCCGGACGCCTATATCAGACGCATCCCAAAGATCACGACGCCACACAACAACAACGCCACCGGCCACGCCAGTAGCAGGGAGAAAGGAGTAGTCGAAGCCTTGGCCTACAGTTTTATTGTTCAAGCTTGCATCATATGCCGCAATCTTGGATTCTTGCAGGCAAACAACAGAAGCACGATGTTGTGCTACTACATCACATACAGCAGTGCGACACGCCTTGGAGTTCAGGCCCCGCACGTTCCACACAAGAAGATGGTTGTTACTCATATCGTTACTAGTTTGGCGACCTGCGTGCCGACGAACATTACTGCATCGGCGGCGAGTACTCCCCGGCGTTGCCATGCAGCGGAAACAACACCCTCATCGCGCTCCTTCTGGTGGACGGGGCAAGTTCTGTGAACGCCTGATGGAAGTCGACGTCGACAGTCGCATCCGGCGTCGTGTTGGCTGGCATCGGGCGGCCATTCCATTTATTTAGTAGCACCCGCTTCGCCTGTCTCTTAGGGTTTGGGTCACGGAAGGCATGTTTGGCCGCGAGACGAGTGCTCCGCCGCGGGAGCCAGTCATCGTCGCGTCGTCTTGGCACGTAGGCGCACGGAGTGTCCTGGATGATCGGTTCTAGCACAGGTAGACGGAGAGAGTCGACGAAGGCCATCACGGTCACGGATGCCGCCGTAGGGGCCGCCACTTGTGTAAGTGTCGTGACTTCCTCTGTAGTGGCTGGCTGGGCAGCCGGCCCATCATTGGCAAGGTCGGACGACGGCCGTACACCAGTCGTTGCGCGGAGCTGAGGCGCATCATCACCGTGCACAGGCATGCATGCGTGGGACTGGTCATCGTCGGCGTTCATCTCATCGAGCCGAGGCACCACGACGTCGTACACCGGTTCGTGCAAGGCCAGAGTGACCTGGGTCATGTTACTGTTGTCTGCCCGTATGGCCAGCTCAGCCAACTCTGTATCGATTAGAGCGACCCACCAATCTAGAGTAGCTTGGCCCGCAGACGAATGCTTGGGCCCTTCCCCGGCCTCATTGGCCCAACTTAAGGTATGGGCCTCACCTGTTCCCTACTGTAAGCTACAACCGGTGTGCAGTAGAAGGGGTGCGATGTCCAGGAAGCGCCCCACCTCCCCTGACCGGTGCACGTCGTTGTCCCGGCAGACTGCAAGGTCAGCAGAAGCGAGGAGATTGGCCCGGCAGGATACGCGAACAGGAGAGATCTTGGGCGTGCCTGGCGCAGACATCGTTGGCCACCTTGACCAGCTAGCAGGCATGTGCTCGTGTCCCAAGAGGGGGCAGGGCTCAACAACAGCGACGTGACGATTCCCCAACAGTGTCAGCGATCGTAGGCTGGCCCACGGATGAAGGTCAGCGCACTGCTCTGACAAGTTGTCTGGGATCTCGCGGCCACCCCCAGTCCGGGCGCGACCCATCCTTCCACGTGTCAGGGGGCAGAGGACCTGGCCCACACGTACGGAATTCACCAGAGGACCTCACCGCCGATAGTCCTGGCCCGGGTGACCGCGGTTGTGGTTGGATTCCGCGGAGCCATCGTCGTCGCTGTCGTCGGCATATGGATAGTCGATGTTGTCGTGCGGGTGCAGCGGCTCGTCGAACCCGTTGCGAGCGCCGCCATTGTTGTCGCCATGGTGACCGCCATGGCCGTTGTCGTCGTCGTCGTTGCCATGGCCGTTGTCACCACCCAGATCGTCAGGTGTTCCCGGGGGCGTGCTCCAGTCCTGGTACACGATGACCCGTGTGCGCACAAGGTATCGCAGCCCCGGATCCACCGTGCGCTCATCCTTCGTGACCTCCGCCACCCGCGGCTCTGGGATGAAGATAATCTTTTCTTCCTCAATGAAGTTCGGATGCCAGCACCACGCCATGACGAAGAACTCGCGGTCATCATCTGCCGGCGTGTCACGTATCGTGAGCTCCTCCACCTTTGTGCGGCATGGTCCAAGAATGACTGTGCCACGGTGGTGTTCCTTGCGCGTGCGGCGGTACCACAGCAATGGCCACGACCACGCAGCGGAAGCGAGCGATCCACCACCACTGCGCTGCGATGTTACGTGCCAAAAGCCGCCACACGAGCGGCTTTTTGGCCGGAAGGCCGCGATTCCAGAACGCGATCGCGGTCAGCCCGATGGCGGAAGCGCGCCACGAAGTCTTCTGGTGTGTGGCGGCGGACATCGACCTCATCCGCAGTGATGCCAAAGCGATTGAACAGAGATGTGTACACCATACTAGTGGTGACGTTGGGTCTGGTACCCCCCACCATGGCCACGAGCGCCTCTTTGGCCGCCTGGATGGCCTCAGTGCGCGGTACCACGACCAGCGTCATGCGCGGGCGCCTGGGCGGCACCGCTGCCCCCACCATCTCCACGGCTGCCGAGCCAGTGGAACGCGAGCCATCGTCGTTGGGTTCCCCCAAGTGTTGCGGGGGTGGCGGTGGCGGTGGCAGTGGCGGCGGCAGTGGGGGTGGCGGCGGAGGTGTAGGAGGCCGGCGTGGCGGAGGCGGTGGTGGTGGTGGCGGCGGTGGAGGAGACCGCCTTGGCGGTGGCGTGGGAGGGGCGCAGCAACGCGGGACGGACGTGGATCGCCCGGTGGACGCAGAGCAGGGCGAGGCGGTGCCCGCCGAGTTGGCACGGTGGCGTTGCTTTGATGCTCATGGCGCGCCGTCTTCTTCCCGGGATGGAAGCGGCGGAGACCGTCCCCGCTTAATACAGCGGTGGTGGAAGCGCGCAGCGGCGGCGATTCGCCGCGGTGTGACCTTCTTCGCCGCAGATTGTAGCATCGCGACCGGTACTGCAGTAGCCCGCACATGGCCGGGCGCGAGCAGTTGAAGCATAGTCCATTCAGCTCCGTGGGACCGGTCGTGGGGACTTCGTGGGAATGGCGCCGTTCGCGATGGCGGCTGCGCACCGAAAGAACCCATCCGCGTCGGTCGCTGAGTGCCGAGTGCCCGCGCCGCGGTCGCGGCAGGCGGTTAAGCGGTGTGGCGATCTCGCGGCGTCGGCCGGCGGCGCGTGGCGGGACGGGTGGGCACGCTGGCCGCAGACCATGAACCCCTCCCGTCGGCGTCGGTGGCTGTGGCGGCGCTTTGGCTGGCGCTTGTAGCTCGCTTGGCCGACCTCCTTCCCTTCCCTCTCCCTTGGCGGCGGAGCGGAGAGGCGGACCGATCGGATAGCTTTCGGAATCGGAGTAGTCCTCCGAGTCACCGAGAGAGCCTCTCCCGGGACCATGGCCGAGGACCCCAAAGCAAACCCGGCGACCCCCCTCGTGGTGTTTGTGTCATCGCCGACCTCGTGGCGCAGTGGCGGCGGTGGTCGAAGAGCCAGCGACGCTTTCTTGGTGATCATCATCGCCCACGATGGCCAAAGAAGCTGGAACTCGTGCGAGACACCCGGTGGTTGCTTTGCATCTTGAAATTTGGGCTCATGATGGTGAACCGCAGGAAGGCGGAGAACAAGGCCCTATTGTTGAGGTCATCATTGTCATCGCCGGTGTGGAAGAGGTGCTTAGGCAGCGGTGACGCCAGATGCACACACCGCATCTTGGCCCCGACATGTGGATCGATTACAGTGCAGCAGCTCGATCTTGAGAGGTTCTTTGTGTGGAGGTGTGGTGGCGGGAAGATCGATCGATTGAGCGGCGACTGGGCCGTAAGTCATTCAGCTCTTGGCTGGAACACCATAAGGTGGGTTTTCTTCAATCCAAAAAGTCTGGTTTTGGCTTAGATACAACATGTATTTAGACTAGGAACGCCCCTCCTAGATAGGTGTCCTCCTGAAAATTAGCACTTATTAGCTATTAGCTATTAGCTAGTTAATTTTTTATGCTAATGGATCAAACATGCCCTCAGCTCTCTATCACCACCTCCTTTAGATCCATAACAATTTGCAATGTGGCATTTCCTCGAGCATGTTGTACGGAAAAGAGGTCACAATTGGAAATGTGGCATTTCCTCTTGAGCATGTTGCAAGGAAAAGAGGCGCCATGTGTAGTACTCATCAGAAATAACGGGCGTGTTCGGCTGGCTTGTTCTGCCACTCACGAAATTACTGTTCACGTCCTGGCAGAACAGTATTTTTCTCTCACAACAATCAGCCGGAACAGTATTTTTCAGTCCTGCCGAACAGGCCCAACAGAAGCTAAAATTTCTACAGACACGGACGCTTTCGCAATCTCTAAACTGCTAGTATTACAGTTCAGTAATTCACCATCAACATTGACGCTGAAAGTCGTCATCAACATCACTGCAAACTCAGTAAATTCAGCATCACCCAAAGCCCAAAGTTACAGATTCTGCTTCCCTGCAGAACATCCTAGCTTACCTAGTCAACAAAGACCTTGTCGTCCAGCTGGAAGGCCTTGGTGAAGAAGGCCGGCCAGCAGAGAGGTAGGTGGAGGATGCTGCTGACGGTGGAGGCGCCCATGAGCATGTTCATGACGACGATCTGCAGCTGGATGGCCTCCAGCGGCGACGCGCCGCCCATGATGAGCCCCGTCATGGCGCCCGGCAGCGCGATCAGCCCCACCGTCTTGGCGTTGTCGATCACCGGCGACAGCGCGATCACCAGAGACCGCTTCACCTGCTGCAGCGTCGCCTGCCGCGGCGTCGCGCCCAGAGCCAGCGCCGTCTCCACCTGATTGATTGATTGATGCAGAGAAAGGAGATGCTAATGAATCTTCAGACTCATCTGATTGACGTCACCAACAGAATAATATAATTAATTAGATTAAACTATTATGAGAGACTATGAGCATGTTGTACTGTACCATTTCTTGGTGGTCTCAGTCAGAACTTTGAAAAATTATTAGACAAGCAATTAAACAATCGAGCAGCAAGGCAAACAAGGTCGAATGCAGCTGAGGTGAGTGACTGACCAGGTCCCTCTGGATCTTGACGTCCTCCCGGAGCTTCTTCATGGTGACGCCGGTGACGGTCATGGCGTTGCCGACCATCATGCCGGCGACGGGGATGATGTAGCGCGGGGTGAACGGGAAGACGCTGAGAAGGACGAGCAGGAACATGGTGATGGCGGTGCCGACGAGGATGGAGACGCACGCGATGTACATCCCGCGGGGCACCTGCTTGGCGCGCTGACCCGCCGTGTAGCCGGCGACCGTCACCTGCGAGACGAGAGAACGTGCGCGCGCGCGTTGGTCAACTCAATTGTCAGCCATGGACGACGAGTAGTAGTGCGTAGTGAATTGGTGAGCGAAACGATGGTGTCCTGAGCTGAATTGGAGAGTTTATTAAAAAAATGACATCTTTAGCTGCAGCCACTCACTCAGGCTCTGATCGATCGGGACGAAACGGAAAAGGAGGAAGGGAGCAGAGAGGTACCATGAAGAGGTAGGCGAGGAGGATCCAGAGCGCGTTCTTCTGGGTGAAGATGAACTGGAGGACGAAGCCGATGACGGAGAGCTGGAGGAAGGCGCGCGCGATGGCGTAGAGCATCTCGCCCTCGAGGCCCAGGCGCAGCGAGAAGCTGAGTGCGACGGCCATGGCCACCACAGCCGTGGCCGCCAGCGGCTTGAGCATGCCCAGCAGGAAGTCGCGCCAGAACCCGGGCGCGCCCGGGTCCACCTGCTTCGCCACCAGGTCCAGGAACGCCATGCCCGCGTGCAGCTCCATCACCAACCGACCGGCCCGCAGAAAGCAGCTAGCTGCTTTGTTGAGCAGAGCTTGATGCTGCCCCCTCCTCGTGTCCTCTGTGGAGCTAGTGCCACGAGCGGCCTTGAGGAGGAGGGGGAGCGCGGGGGCGGCCTTGAGGAGGAGGAGGAGGGGGAGGGCCCAAGTGAGGCAGGCGGCGGCTGAGGCTGGTGAGGTGCGGGGCCGTACGCCTGCTCTGTACCTGTCCTGGGCTAAGTCTGCGCGGGGGAGGCTGCCAGGGTGGGGATCCCGAGAGATAGGTAGGTACGGCGGTGGATGTTCGCGGCGGGCCCATAGAGCGGTGCCACGACATGTGTTGGGGGCTACCAAGCTTTTCTAGCACTAGTCGTAGTCAGGGGCCCGTTTGGTAGGGCTCCAGCTCCTCCTAAAATAGCTCTGACTCTAGATCTTGTGCTGGAGCAGATTCTCTGGTGGAGCTGAAGTTATTTTGGGAAACCGTTTGGCTGAACAGTTCCCTGTGTCTGTTATGAATGGCTAAGACTGGAACAATGTCGAATATGCCCCTGCATGAATAGCTCGCCATGTTTGTTACGTGCTTGCTGAACACCTGATTACGGACCGGAAAACGAAGGGCGCAGATGGTTTCTTCACCGCCGCTCGGGGTTGTAACGCCGCTGGGCGCCGCGCGCTCGCCCACGGGCCGCCACCTCACGGCCGCCCGACAGACGCGCTTAGGGTCGAGCACAGCACGCGCGCCACCCGGCCGGGGCGATCCTCGCCAGCCGCCGCCGTGACCGCCACGCACTAACGCGGGGTCGGTGCCGATACCAACCAGTTGCGCCGGCGCCACCACGCCACCACCTCCGACGCCGCCTAGGGTCACGCTTCGGCCACCGACGGGGGCCGGTCACTGGCGCCGCCTGCAGCACCGCGAGGAGAGCGGAGAAGCCTCCGGCCGTTGCTCTCCCGAGCCCGCCGCACCCATGGATCCATCTTCACCGCCACCGGATCTGCTCGGTCTCAGAACCCCTTGCCATCTTGCCTCTCGTGTGCAAAGGCGTCCATGGAGGAGGCGGATGGAGCTCACCTCGATCCGTGCGGCCTTGATCCGTGATGCGAAAGAGATAAGGCTTGGTGGGGAGGCGATGGCGGATTGTTGTAATTTCTTGAGAACTTTAAGGGCAAAGGGTACCATGTCTGCTGAGTCGACACATGAGCGTGGGAAGTTTTTTTTGGCTTCGATGGACCTCACTCGTATGTGAGAGCGCAAAAAAACGGAGATTCTTCGTGGGAGCACCCCGGCCTGTACCCCTTTGGCAGCGGGAGCAAAAAAAACAGCTCCAGGAGCTGGTGTAGAATCCCTACCAAAGGGGCCCTCAATTTCAAAAGGTTTGGTACCGTGACTATTTATTAGTCAACCGTCTAAAAGTTCTACTAGTACTAGGCCATCAAAACTGCTGGGCATTTATATATTTATCATTATTATATATATCGGCCTGTTCGTTTGGCAGAATTTGACTAAAAAAACAAACCAAAATACTGTTCCGGCTGAATTGTCGTGAAAGAAAAACACTATTCCGGCTGAAAAAAGAAGCCGAACAAGCTGGATTTTAAGACAAGCGAACGAGGCCATCATCTTACACTGTGTCACTGACATATGAGTCACTGACGTGGTATTTTTTATACCACTCACATTGTAATGATGGCAATTATGTAAATATGTTTTTGCTTGACAAAGAAATAAGCTATTTTTTTAACGTTCACAACTTAACGCACTAGTACTAGTAGTAGTAGTTCACGGAATATTTACATAGAGCTAAGCGGAGAAATCCATGTCTAAACAGAATAGGCCTGAATTTTAATCAGCTATAAACATTAATTAACAATTAGTTGTAACATCTAGTAAACTAACAGCAACTAGTCCTAGTTTATCATCAAAGAAAAAAGCCCTTGGACACCAATCAAATGTTCTTGTACACAAACCTCAAGACACAGGTAAAAAGTTTTGAGGGAAAAGACACAGGTAAAGTAAGGACCGTTTTTCAGATACGGGTGGAGTACTTTCTTTCAGTTTCAGGAACTTAGGTTCCATCTTTTTTTTTCCCCCTCTCTCGAACGAGCCTTCACCCAGCTCGTGTTTCATTAAGATATAAGAAGGGAAACTTAGGTTCCATCTAGTTGCCATCATATTTTTCAATGGCCAATGGCAGATCTCACATGCCGCCACAAATCTAGGCTCATGGACTCCTTTTTTTAATCAATCAATAAATAACAATACACCCATGATCAGCCATCAGCTGATACTTGGATCATGATGCGGTCATGAAAAGGACCTCCCCCCAATTAAGCCAAAATCAATCATGACACTTTCATATTCCAAAATCCAGGCCGTAGCTTTCACCTCAAAAACTGTATTGCCATCTAGACAGATTCGATCCGGGGCAAGAGTACGCCTCAGTTACAGACTTACATATGCCATCTTTCCCTTTTTTAAAAGGCAAAAATGCAGACAAAAGGTACTACCCGAGGTGGTATGCCTCAAACAATCCGAATGCTCTTGCAACAATTAGCTTCCTAAACCGGTGGTTTCTACACATAAAGATGGTGGAGCGCAGACTGCAGGTCAATGCTATTCATTATCCTTGTTCTTGCCGTTGCCCTGCTTCTTGTACGATTCTTCAAACTCCTTGGCCTTGCCCATCAGAGTCCACATGAGCTTCTTTATGTTTGGGACTTCGTAGTTCTGGGCAATGTAGATGCCGCAGCCGGTGCCGATCAACAGTGAGAAAGTGCTTTTCAGGAACCCCATCGGAACCGAGCTGCAGGGGAAACAAGAAAACCAATACATTGAGCAACATCAACATGATAAACCCCGCTAACTTGATTAATCAATACAACATGTAGCTCTCAAAATAGTTAGGATTCGGGGTTAAATGCTGTATGCTAGTAACCAATTAGTGGACTTAAATATTGCACGTGTGCTGACATTGTGAACTTCATCTCAGTACAATAATTTCAGAACAAACAGCATGGCAAGTGGAACCACTGATACAAGTCATAAATTTTGTAGCAAGCCAATCTTTCTTAGTTTGTGCTCTTATTATTGAGAATTTGCTAGCAGTTAAGAGTTCGAAACCAGCAAGGCCCCCCCACAGACCACAGTTATGCACATGTTAACATAAATCATCTTGCAAATAACAGTGCAACAAATCAAACATGAGTTAAATTGTCAGAAATTGCTCCGGTTCTATAATATTAAGTTCCTGAGTCAACTAAACTTCTCATCCTAACTATAAAGGCTAGATACATAAACAGATAACCTTAGCAGCAAATATATTGATCTCATAGTATGGAAAAACAGTGGGCCATACATGCTCAAATGGTAAGCAGCCACATGTTTCAAGCATATGCATGAGAATTCACGAAAAAGCCCATCCAAATTCCACATGCATATCGGATCACTCTGCCATTTTCAATATCACATCTCAAATTCTGCCTTATAACTGACCAGGGACAAAACAATGCAAAAAGAGCGACAGGAGGCAACCAAACTAAATTAATGCCCCACCCAGCCTTTGGCATGCTAAAAACTCCATGAGAAACAGGGTAAATTACCCCTTCTCCTGTGATATATAGCTTTCCATTTGCATTAAGACAATCGAAAATTAACATGCAGATAAACCGCACGAGGTTCAAATATACACATAATAAAATTGACTTTATTAGCCTGATGAGGCCTGAATGTGTCACAAACTACAGCTAGTGGCGCAAAATTTCAATGTTGGCTCCAGCTCCAGGCCTACACATCTATTCCTTACAGTGAAACATGAGCAGAAATAACAGAAACATTCAGGCATCCAAACAGATGTACACCAAACAGCATGGACAAAGCAGACACAAAACAGCGGGCCATACATGCTCAAATGGTAAGCAGCCACATGTTTCAAGCACATCTACATGAGAAATCACAAAAATGCCCATCGAAATTGCTCATGCATATCGGATCAATCGTCACATTCAGTATCACATCTCAACTTTTGCCTTATAGCTGACCAGGGACAAAACAATGCAAAACAAAGTAACAGGAAGCAACCAGACTAAACCAACACCCCATCCAGCCTTCCACATGTTACGAACTCCATGAGAAACAGGATAAACACCCCCCCTTCTTCAGTGATATATAGCTTTCTATCTGCAGTAAGACGATTGAAAAACTAACACGCAAATAAACCACACGAGGTTCACAGATACACACAAACAAATCCGCATCATTAACCTGAGAACTGAATGTCTCACAAAAACTACTGCTAGTGTCTCGAATTTTCAATGTTGGATCCAGCTCCAGGCCTACACATCTACTCCTCACTGTGAAGCGTGAGCAGAAATAACAGAAACATTCAGGCACCCACGAGCATCAGTTTAACTAGGATCAAGCTGCCTCAGATACCCCCGTGATTTTGAACTAGAAACATATGTGAATCAATCAGGAATCTAGCAAATCCCTACCTGCGTCAAGCGATGCGATAGGCTGTTCCCAATTCCCATCCCGACCGAGCAAGCAAAGCCCCTCTCCGAACAACTAAACCGCGCCCGGATTCAAGGAGGGCAGCGCCACGAGAAGAGCGGAGCGGCGAGGTTTACCTGAGCTGAGGGAGCGGAGGAAGAAGCCGTGCGCCCTGCCGTGCGGGGGAGGGAGGGATCTGGCGATCGGCGAGGGGGTGGAGCGGATTCGCACGAGCAGGTTTTTTTAGAGCCTCCGCTCCATGGCAATTGTGCCTTATTATTACCATCGGAGGACGACTCCTCCGGTCCTCCTAACTCGCTTCCATGGGCTGGGCTAAAACTGTACATGGGCCTGGATTTGCTCGCCACGGATGGGCCACGAGTTGCGTTGAGTGGGGGGGCCGATTCGACTCGCATTTGTATATATGAAGTAAAGGACTGTGTTGGAAAACTAACAACCGATGAAAATACACATGGCTAAGACCCAACCCAAGTATTCGTATTCGTGTTTGTATAATTTTCATTCAAAAGATGACACGGAAATATCGCTTTTTATAAGAGTAGAGCTTCTCAGTAATACATTATCAAGAACAACGAGTACGTGATCGAGCGGATGGTTAGTATAATAAGCTTCAAAAGGTTGTTCGCTTCGCTGAAAAGCCAGTACTGTTCGCTGATTTGTTGTAAGGAAGAAACACTGATAAGCCAGGCTGATAAGTTGAAGCGAACAGGCAGCCTGCCAGACACTGGAACGTGAAACATGTAACCGTACTCCCGTGCATATACGTGTAGCACGTACATGAGAACATGCAACGCACAGGCACGGACGCACGTATATGCCATCGTACGTGTCCCGGAGATCCATCGATACTTGCTCTCGATACTACTAGTAGTTTTTAATTAATGACTATATATCTCGTGATATATAGACGACGGTACGGTCCTCCCGTAACGACAACAAAAATACATAGGAACAACACACGTCGTACACGTCAAAGTATGCATGTGCAGCAGCTCCTCTCTACTATATGTGTATACGTAGGTACAAAATATTCGTGTGTGTGCGTGTCGAAGCAGTACAGCGTGTGCACACACGTATGACGTACCATGCATCTGTATATATGTGTGTGTGCGTACATACATATATATGTGATCGATCTGCTAATTGCGAGTGCTAGGACGACGACAGGGAAATGACAAAAGCGTAAGTAGACTGACGCGCGCCTAGCTTGTAATTGTACGTGTCACTAATTGCAGGGAATATTTGCAGCACGTACGTACGATCTCCCGCGGCTCATGTACTTGATCTTGAGGTCTGATTAGATCGGATGTCGGATCACCAAATTTTGAATCATGCATGCATCATCATTCATCCATCGTACCACGCATGTAAAGTCAAGTCTCCCTGATTTCAAATGTCAAACACAAATTTCAGGGTGATTGGTACCTTACATAGATGGCTATTACATGTATCTATTTGTAAGGTTAAAAGGTAGAATGTGAGCTAGCTAACCTCATATCCTCTTCTCCCGCACACAAGCTCGACCGGCCAAGCACAAACATGAGCAGTGCGGTGCCAACATAGATTTTGCAACTGAAGAAGAAGGATTGAACCGAGAAACGGAGAAAGAGAGGTGAAAATGAGGGAAGGACGCACAGAGAGAAAGTGATGTCAATCACTCTCTCTCCTCCATCCGTTTGTCCCTCACCCTCTACCTTTCTTGGTTTCCCACTCTCTCCCGTTCGTCCCTCTATACGATGGTAACAATTTGGAGCTGTAACTGGCACCAATCTTGTTGTTTCTTGGGACTGCCCGAGTCCATGGGCATCATGACTCTACGTGCTCGGGCATGTGGCTCGCTTTTCAACTTCTTAACCTCACAACATTTGCAAACAATAGCCATCTATTTAAGGTGAGTTAATCTCCAGTAAATTTTTCATAGGCGGATATCCTCTAATGCTCATAGCATTTTCTATGGGTCTTGGAATTTATTTGATTTAGTTAAAAATAAGGTTGGACCAAGTCCAATTAATAAATTCAATACAGATATAGCACTACTGTAAATACACATTTCTAAAGACGGCCACATTGGATCTCCTTCCCACCTCAACCATAACGTGAATCTGTTAATGAAAAGCTACAGAGGCGAACACAATCCCCATCTCTAGAAATCGGGAAAATATATCAGCTCCATCTGGCGGCCGCCCATGTGTTGTATCCATAGGGGTCATCGTTGTCGTGCCATATCCGCAGGGGCCGCCGCTGGTGAGGATGACGTCGCCGCCACTGGTGAACTTGAGAATGTTGGCCCCATTGACCGGCCATGGCGCATCCCCTTCCACACGACCCCGCGTCCTCCTTCGAAAAGGCCACCATTGCATCTCGCACTGAATACCATCACATCTCACACCAGACCCTTACCGCACCCTTGACCTGGCACCGGACCTTCAGATGATAAATAGTGGAGGACGATTAGGAGAGGAGATCAAGAGGAGTGGAGAGAGGGGTCAAGGGAGCACACCTATTGTCATGGGGAGAGAAGAGGTGGGCGGTCGGCGGCCATTGACACGACCACGAGCATAGGCTCTACCAGATCAGCGAGGAGGAGGCGCCTGGCTGGTTCCACTCGCCGTGGAGAGAGGAGAGGTGGGCGGTGTCTGTGGGGGAGATCGAGGAGAGATGGGTGACGATGGCGGGATGACGACTGCGGGAAGAATGAAGAACGAAGAACAGGGAAGTGGCAACTTGGGGATGGGTTAGGGTTTGTTATATGGACCATGCTTTGGTTGGGCTTTTTTCAGAGGCCGGCCTCTAATAGGTTCGATTTTAGAGGCGGGTCTCTTAAAAGACCTGTCTCTATTAATACGATTTTCAGAGACAGATGTCTCCGAAATTCACTCGTTATTTTAGGAGACCATCTTAACTTTTGCCTGCCTCTGTTAATCAAAATGCATGTCTCCTAAAATCTTTTTTGTGCTAGTGTAGTTAGCTCATTATAGTTGGCATAAGTAGGTCGAGATGACCATGCAACAAGTTATACATCTCATTGCAATGCATGAACACATTTGCTAGTAGATATTGAAAGGAGAGAAAAATTCTTCCCCGGTCTCTTGGTTCATCACTCTCTCCTCGAGTCATCTGTCCCCACTCCCTTGAGTATAAGAATTCTAGCCGGTTTTGTTAAGAGAAGTAATACATGATAAACTGGAGATAATATTCATGCTTAGTTTTCCGCCATGTCCATGACCTGAATCATAATCGTGCTCATATGAGTTAGAATAGCGCGCGTCCTACCCCGATACAGAATCCGATTCCAAGAAGTATTCAAAATAGATGACGCAAGTAAGTACGTTCCATTGCAACGCACCAACGTGTTCGTATGTTTTTCCCCTAAAAAAAGAGAAAGACCACCGTGAAGTACAGTTTATTAGTTTGAGGCTGATTCTTTGGTGGGAAAACGAAACAGAAGGCAGGCAAAAAAAAAAGTCCACACACACAGGGTGTGCACTGGGGATCTAGATGCTAGAGATGAGACTATGAGAGAGGGAGAGATCTAGAGAGAGACGTACTTAGACCCCGTTTACATCAAAAAATTTTGGATTTTTTTGCTATTATAGCACTTTCGTTTGAATTTGACAATTAATGTCTAATTATGAACTAATTAGGTTCAAAAGTTTCGTCTCGCGATTTTTTACCCAACTATGCAATTAGTTTTTTTTTCATCTACATTTAGTACTCCATGCATGTGCCGCAAGATTCGATGTAATGGGTACTGTGCAAATTTTTTTGGAATGGGGCCTTAGGGAGGAGGGGGTTGGTGGAGGTTGGGAGTTGGAGGACCGGCATGCAATGCAAGGAACATTCCATTTCATCATATTCATATGAACTTTAGTTTGATCTCCTCTCCCACCAGTTAGCCTTGTTTAGTTCAAAAAGTTTTTCCAAAAAGTGCTACAGTGCCGTCACATCGAATTTTACGATACGTGCATGGATCATTAAATGTAGACGAAAAAACTAATTGCACAGTTTGGTTGAAAATTACGAGACGAATGTTTTAAACCTAATTAGTCCATAATTGAACACTAATCGGTAAATAAAAACGAAAGTGATCTAGTAGCAAAATTTCCAAAGTTTCCCGACTAAACAAGGCCTTAAAAGAGCTCTGCAAATAAGGCCTAGCTAGTAGGTACCGTACCCAGCTAAAAAGCTTCACAAGCAGCTGCAACATCTCATCTATCTACACTCTACACTAATAAACACGCACTGTACGCACGGGCACATTCCATAATAACTCAATAAGGAATCACTGCACTGCACTGCACTGCGCGCCACTCCGGCTGGCCGGCCGGCCGGCCTCTTGAGTAGCTCGCTCCTGGTGCTCAGTGCTCACTACCTCTAGCTAGTGTCGACGTACAGTACGTGCACTAATCTGTAATCTCTATAAACTAAGTACACCCTCTAATGAAACACGTACATGCACCGGAAAGAACAAGAAGACAGACGACGACGACATTTATAGCTCGTAGCCATGGAGACTGGAGAGAGTGAGAGAAGCTAGCAAGCTCTAGCTCTAGCTCTAGCTAAATTGATTGGGAGGGACGAGATCGATCATGTCAGTGTGTGCACTACTGCATGACATGCATCAAATTAAACAACTGATGACGACGACTAGCTAAGTGATTAATAATGGCCATGCATAGGTCGATCAGGCCACGTCGTGCTGTTCTTCCTTGAGCCCGCCGGGGAAGAGGTCCAGCGTCTTGAGCGGCCGGCAGAAGGAAGCCGGCTGCGGCGCCACCTCGAACCCCGGAGGCGTCGTCATGTCGACGGCGGTGGAGGCGGAGCTCACGACAACGTCGTCAAGCGCCACGCCGAAGTTGTCCAGCTTCCCCAGCGACGAGTACTCCGGCCGGCCGAGCGCCTCCGCCGCCGGCACAAGCCCTCCTCCTCCGCCACCCTGTGCATGGACGGATTAGTATATTATATTATATATATAGCGAGATAAAGATGGAAACTTTATTTCAACTCCGGCGATGTGACGTGTAGATAGACGATAGTACGTACGTACTACTCGGTTCTTACCTGATGCTGATAGTGGAACAGCTGGGTCGTCGGCGACGGGGGAGTGGCGTTGCCGGCGCACCTGCTCGCCGGTGCAGCGGCAGCGAAGGGGTAGTAGTAGCCGTACGCCGCAGCGGCCGCTGCCGCGGCAGCAGCCGGGGTGGGCGACGTCGACGGGGAGAGCAACTGATGATGCCCGTACGGCGCGACCGGCGGCGGCGCGGCGGCCAGGAAGCCGCCGTGGTGCGCCGCGGCGGCGTAGTACTGGGCGCAGGAGAGGAGGTGGTGGCTCATGCAGAGCCTGCGGCGCAGCTTCTGGCGGTCCCGGGCCTTGTGGTTCTGGAACCAGTAGAAGACGTTCTTGCCCTCGATGCGGCCGTAGCAGGCGAGGTGCGCCGTGATGTGCTGGATCTGCGACGCGTTGGGCGTGCGCAGGCCGCCCCGGTACATCTCCTCCAGGATCATCAGCTGCTCCGGCGTCGGGCACCACCGCGTCGACCCCGCCACCACCTGCGGCTGCGGCTGCGGCTGGCCCTGCTGTTGCTGCTGCTGCGACGGCATGTCGTCGTCTACCTCGCTCGATCTGCCAACTACGCACTTCCAGCTAGGATTTGATGAGTAGCTATTTGTGTACGTGCTCGATGGATCGATAATCAATTAGTTCGTTGGTTTGTTTGCAAGCTGTCTGTGAATAAGCAAGCAAAACTTGTTGTTTGTGGCTGGTTGGTTGGGTGTGTTGAGAGAGAGGGGGAGAGACAAAATGGGTACTAGGAGGGCGGAGGAACAGATGGATTGTTGGGTGGATGGAGGTCCGATGAGGATCGGAAGAAGAGGAAGAAGCATATATATAATGGAGAGAGAGAGAGAGGCCCGGCCACTACTGCACTGCTTCCTTCTTCCTGTCTGCAGTATTATATATATAATAATGGATCCAGACACTGCTATACATAATAATACACGCGCACATGCGCACCACCACCACCACCATGGAGTTGAGTTTAGGGCCGGTTTGGTTGTCCAAATTTTTGGCAAAATGGCACCGTACCGTTTTCGTTGTTATTTGACAATTAGTGTCTAATTATAGTCTAATTAGGTTTAAAAGATTCGTCTCGTGAATTTCGTCTAAACTGTGTAGTTTTATTTTTTATTTATATTTAATGCTTCATGCATGCGTTCAAAGATTCGATGTGACGGAAAATCTTGAAAAATTTGGTATTTTAGGAGGGAACTACCTTAGTAGTACTCCTTGACTTTAGAGAGAGAGGGGGAGAGGGAGATGTGTACTGCAGCGACTGTTTATTTAGAGAGAGAGAGAGAGAGAGAGAGAGAGCAGAGGCAGAGCAGACGAGAGATGTGGCAAGCAATTGGCAATGGCATGTTATGCAAGAGAAGCGGCCTGTGTACTGTTCATAGGTAAGGTACTGTGGCGAGTAGGCAGCAGTCATCTTTTTTCTCACTGAGCTGAGCTGAGCTGAGTTGAGCAGCCAGCCAGCCAGCTACTAGGTTGGAGCTACTAGTACTGTAGCGACGTAATCAAAAGAATGAATGTGATAATCAAGAACGACTGTGTACTGTCGTATGGTGGATTTCCTGACCGATTAACACCACCGCATATCCAACATGTTTCGTACCGACAGCCCCGGCCTCCCATCCTCTCCTAGCTATTATCATATGTACAGCATGTATGTATGTATGATCCATGAACCGTTAGTTGTGATGGCCAATGGCTCCAGTTGTCATTATTTCAAACTTGTTTGCAAATACATCATCTTAATTTGATGACAGGTGAACATACAAGAGGCAACAGTTCGATCAGTTCCTTGGCGTATTTATTATTGCTAGGATACACGTACGTACGTTGTGTCGTCGTTGATTTCGTGCTTGAACGAACGCGGCGAGCGTGGTACGTGTACTTGTGCGTGCACAGTTATTTGGTCACTCGTGCTGCTAATAGCTACTCCTCTCGCTCGCCAACACAACACAAACGTCAAGCATCAGTAAAGTGGCCATTGTAGGTACTACGTGTAGCTAGACGATACTAGCTACTCCTACGTCGATCTGCTAGCTAGCTTAGCTTGTTCTAGCAAACGACGACATAGATAGTGATAGATCCGATTAGGTTTAGGTACACACACCAGCTAGCATGCATGCATTGGCTGACTACTAATACAGTAACAAGCATTTAGTGAGACGATAAACCAGAGATGATATCACAGTTGTGCATGGACGGACGGTCGACCACACTAGTAGCTAGTGCAGTAGGAGTACATTATTCCTATTTAGGGTGTGTTTAGTTCCTCCCAAATTTCCAACTTTGACACTATACAAAAAGAAGATCCCCCGCCACATCAAACTTACGGTACATGTATAGAGTACTAAATGTTGACGAAATCAAAAACTAATTGCACAGTTTGATTGTACTTTACGATACGAACGTTTTGAGCCTAATTAACGATTGGACAATTATTACCAAATACAAACGAAATGCTATGGTCTACAGTGATTTTGGCGGCCCCGATGAACTAAACATGGCCTTAGGGCGCGTTTAGATGCAAAAGATTTTTGGTTTTGGCTACTGTAGCATTTTCGTTTGTATTTGATAATTAGTATCTAATTATGGACTAATTAGGTTCGAAAGTTTTGTCTCGTGATTTCTCACCCAACTGTGCAATTAGTTTTTTTTCGTCTATATTTAGTACTTTATACATGTGCCGCAAGATTCGATGTGATAGATACTCCGAAAAAAAAATAGGGCCTCGTTTAGATTGCGAAAAAATTTCAACCCGATGAATAGTACCACTTTCGTCTTATTTGACAAATATTGTCCAATCGTGGACCAACTAGTCTCAAAAGATTCATCTCGTGATTTCCAACTAAACTGTGTAATTAGTTATTTTTTTTACCTACATTTAATACTCCATGCAAGCGGCTAAAAATTGATGTGATGGAGAGAGAGTGAAAAAACTTGGAATTTGGGATGCATCTAAACAAGGCCTAGGAACTAAACAGGCCTTAGAAAAATGGCTCCTTTCCTCTGTCTGTAACCTGCAACTGTATGCAAGGCTGCCTGCGAGTGCCTTGAATATAGGTTACTGGTGCAGAGTTATTTAGCACGTCGTGTCGTGCCTTCATTCTGATTCTGGCCCGGCCGGCCTCTCGCTGCTGCTGCTCTCTGCATGCGTCTGCCTCTGCCTGCTCATCCTTCAGAAAAAAAAAAGCCCATCAGTGGTGACTCTTCAGACAGAGATAGAGAGAGAGAAGGCCTAAAAGGCATCCACTGCATGCGTGCATTTAAGGGGAGAATTACACGTCGGATTCTGGAAATCTGCCTAGGATTTCGGTCGACGACCACACCAGTAGATGGAGCCTAAGGTCATGTCTAGTTTCCACCAAACTCCTGAAAAAAATACTATGTAAAAAGAAGATTATTCGTCACATCAAATTTATGGTACATGTATGTTATACTAAATGTAGACGAAATCAAAAACTAATTGCACAGTTTGGTTGTACTTTACGAGTCGAATATTTTAAGCCTAATTAGTCAATGTTTGAACAATAATTCACAAATACAAACAAAACACTACAGTAACATATTAATTATTTGGCCACTCTCCGGTCCGGGAACTAAACAAAGCCCAAGGAAAAAGAGAGCTTGCATTGCTCTTGCACAGTTGTTGCCGTTGCAGCAATGGGAAACCGGGGAATTATGAGGTGATGATGGCCCCGCCCCTGCATGCCCTTCCAGCCTTCCCTTCCTTCGTGGCTGGCTCATGGCTCTCGTCAGGACACTTCACACTTGCTTGCAATGCATCGTGATGCGTGCTCTCCTCTCGGCTAGTGGCCTAGTACTAGTAGCTAGCTGAACCGCTGGGTATATGTGTCCTTGCCGAGTGGCGCTTTTGGGTCAGGGAAAACTGCAGCGGATCAGCAGAATTCAGTGAGTAATTACTTCCATCCTTTTTGTATTTCCTGCATTCCTTTACCTATACGGCTATACGCCTATACCTATACGCTACTGTATACTCCTATACTCCTACGTAGCAGCTAGTCCATCTCGATACCCCCTCCTATACTCGATCCTGTGTCCTGTACGTATGTGTATTATATACGGAGTATTATGTATAGTGTATGTACTCCTATATGGTGAGGCTAACTGTACCTCACATCATTTACTACTGTTTGCTCTTTTCAATCCCGTCCATGCTCGCAGTACTGCGGCAAATAAAAGAGTTGAGAGACTTTAATTTGTCCATGGCCTAAAATAAAGGTGGTATCCAATGGTGTTATAACAACTTAAGCATTTGTTTATATACTTGTTAAGGCCATCCTTGCTTTGTTTTTTTCCGAACCAGTAACAACATGTTCTTCTGATATTTCCTCCATGATAAATATAAGGTATCAGAACATTCAAAATTTGTACTGAATTATAAGTGACTAGCTAGCGAAACAACATGTGCCCCCGCAAGGCCGAGAAAATATGAAGCATTAAAAATTTTATTATGAATAAATTTATTACTTCCTCCATTCCAAATTATAAGACATTTTTAGTTTTTCTAGATATGTTGCATTTGCTGAGCCGGCGGTCCGGCTCTGCGAGGATCAATGAAGATGGTGTCTTGGAACTGCTGGGGTTTGAGCAATTGCCCGACAGTTCGGGGCCTTCTGGATTTGCAGAAGGCTGAGAGTGCGGCCATTCTTTTCTTGTCAGAAACAAAATTGGATAAGAGGAGGATGGAAAGGTTTAAGTGGCTGCTGGGTTTGAGAAACATGGTGGTGCGAAGTTGTGTTGGAAACAGGGGCGAATTGCTGTGTTATGGAGGAGGGTGGTTGGTGTGGCTCTGAAAAATTTCTACGATAACCACATTGATGTGGATGTGACGGAGACTGATGGTTCAACGTGGAGATTCACAGAAGTGTACGGTTTTCCACAAACTGAAGCGAAGCATAGAACTTGGACTCTCCTTCAAGATCTATGGTTACAAGACAACATCAATGTACCGTGGCTTTGCGCAGGAGATTTCAATGAAATCTTATTTCAGCATGAGAAGGAGGGGGGTTGCCTGCGACCCCAAGCTCAGATGGATAGGTGTCAGGATGCCATTGATTTTTATGGGCTGCACGATCTTGGTTTCGAAGGTGACATTTTCACATGGCAGAATCAACAGTCTAGGGCGCTGGGGTATGTGGGAGAGCGCCTGGATAGGGCTCTTGCTAACGAGTCTTGGAGGGAGAAATTCCCCACTGTTTTCGTCCAAAACGGGGATCCTCGACATTCTGACCGTAGACCAGTAATCATCACAATGATGAGACATTAGGAGAGGGGCCGAGAGGAATGAGATCTTTTGCTTTTGAAGCCGGTTGGTTGGAAGAGGAGAATTGTGAGTGTTGTGAAGGAGGGGTGGGAGCAGGGAGTAGCGGAAGTTTTGCTCACGGTGGATCAGCTCATTAGAAAGGTGCCGGGTGGGTTGAGTTCCTGGAGCTCCAATGTTTTAGGCGCATGGGAGAAACAACGGAAGATGTTGAGGAGAGAGTTAGAGTTGTGTCGTCGTGGTCCTTTGTCC